TTTACACTGCGTCTCCCGGGAGGGGCGGTGGCGGTGACGTGCACGGCTCCGAAGCGCAGCTGTGTGAATCCTGGCATTAGAGCGCACGCAGACTCCAGGGAGCCCTGTTAATTGTTAACCCCAGGCCATGTGGCTTCCTGTGCAGCCTGTCTCCACACAGGAGTGGATCGTTTTAGGTAAACCCGTAGAAAAACCGATTTCATTAAATTGGCACAATATGGGCCGGGGGCAGAGTGCAGCTCTCTCACCATGAAGGGGTTGCTCGCTATTGGGTAGCTTGGCTTCAATACTTAGCATAGCTCTGCGCTCCTGCAACTGCTGCATCCTCACAAGGGTTTGCATCGATTTAACCAAATCCGTCCTTACAAGGTGCACAAACTGCAGATGATCCCTAAATTCAAACCTATCGTTAACCCTTTTGACCTGAGTGGTTTGCTAGTATTTGGGGGCTTGTGGGTGGTTGTTAGGAAGAGAAGAGTGGCGGAACTAGGTATTTTTGATGAAATTCTGTTTATTCACAAAGAGTGTACACAATCTCTGGTAGGAATCACACTGGAGACAGTTTCCTTGCTTAATAGTCCAAGCCTCTTTTTTCTACCCCTACTTTACCCGAAAAGCTATTGGCTTTCAAGGGTTACACTACACTACCAAGAGTTTTTTCCTGATCTCCTTGGGTTTCTGCTTCCTTCTCTGTCTACTTCTGAGGTGTGTCTGATTTCATCTACTTTCACTCAAAAACAATGGTACCAGTTCATTTAAAACGATATAGGACCGCTGGCAGAACATTTACTTCCATCAAAAACAATACCCAGCTGACTGCATTAGCATTCAGTCTCCCCTTCACTCCTCCCCCTTACACTTCTGTAGTGTGGGGCCTGACCAGCCTTGTGTGTGGCCTTATGTCTTAGGAGGCAATGGCTTTTATTGTTTCAGCAATCTTATTCCAAATGGAGCCTAATAGCTTCTTATGTTTGTCCTTAGCAAAGGGAGGCTGTTACACCAGCAACCCCCAGCAAGCAGCATTACATTATAAAGTCCTGTGATCTTGGCTGAGTCCATGTTATAGCCGTGATCACCAGAGGTAATTGGAATGATACCCCTTCACTTTAAAAGAGATGGGACAGCTGGCAGGGCATTTGCTATCATCTTGTGCTGAAAGACTTCAGTTCCAGGTAAATTATTTGAAACCATAGTAAAGAACAGATTTATCAGCCACACAGATGAATATGATATGGTTGGGAAAGAGGCAACACAGCTGTTGTAAAGGGAAATTATGACTCACTAATCTCTTAGAATTCTTTGAGGGGGTCAACAAAGTTGTGGACAAGTGTTATTCAACAGATACGGTGTACTTTGACTTCCAGAAAGTCTTTGACATGTCACCAAAAGCTTTTAAGCAAAGTAAGCAGACATGGAATAAGAGGGAAGGTCCTGGCATGGATCAGTAAATAGTTAAAAGATTGCCCATTTAGTCATACCGTTTGTTTCCAGTTTTCACAATGGAATGGTAAATAGTGGGGTCACCCAAGGATCTGCACAGGGACCAGTGCTGTTCATCATATTAATGAATGACCTGAAACAGCCCGTACACAGGAATTTCTGTGGGGAGGGATGCTTTTTTCGTGTGGTAAATGTGGACTGCAAGGGTGCGAATGGACCACGTTATGGTCCCCCAAATAAGTATGCTCTGACCGGCTGGGGAAAGGCAGGAGTGGTGCATTGCTGAGCCTCCCTCCGCCATGCTCCAGCGGTGATGGGATGGCTGGGGGGCTGATTTCCCTCCCACCCCCCACCGACAGGAGTGAGGCCAGGAGCAGGGCTGTGCCTTGCTCCTGGGTGAGGAGGGGACAGGGAATCAGCCCCAGCCTTCCCCCCAGCCGGAGGAGGGAGGAGGGAGTATAGAGGAGGGAGGCTCGGGCAATGCACCACTCCTGCCTTCCCCCGGCTGGCCAGAGCATGCTTACTTGGGAGACTATGGGAGGTGTTCACACCCTTTCTTATCCCTCCCTGAAGATGGGCCTGTGGAGAGGGGTAAATAGTGAGACATCAAAATTTGCAGATGATGCAAAAATTACTGAACCTTGTTACACTGGAGCAAACTGTAAAGAGTTACATAGGGATTTCACAAAAATGGGTAACTGGGCAACAAAATGGCAGATGAAATTCAGTATTTATAAATGCAAAGTGATGCACATTGGAAAAAATATTCCCACCTGTAACTACAAAATGATGAGGTCTAAATCATCTATTACCATTCAAAAAAGAAATCTTGGAGTCATCATGACTAACTCTCTGAAAACACCTGCTCAGTTTACAGCAGCAGGCAGAAAGCTAACAGAACATTTAGGAACCATTAGGACTGGGATATAAAATGAGACAAAATGTCATAATGTAACCATTTAAATCCATGGTATGCCCCCTTGAATACTGTATACAGTTTTGGTCATCCAAGAAAGATATATTGGAACTGGAAAAGGTTCAGAAAAGGACAACAAAAATAATTAAGGCATATGGAACAGCTTCTCATGGGTGTCGTGTGGCTTAGGTGGGGGAAGGGTCTGCCTTCCCAAACTGCCAGCCTGGCCCCACCTGCAGAACGCCTGCTGTAGGTGTATTGGGGGCGGAGTGTTGCTGCCCCAGAGCACCCTCTCCCCGTGCTCTGAGGCAGGTTTGCCCATGCTGACATTTCCCTCTCCGGTGCTCTGGGGGCAGGGGAGGCTGGAACCATGTGGCCTCCTCCCTTCCTGCTGCTCCTGGGGCTGGGGAGGTATGGGCTGACTCAGGCCATGGCCGCCTGTCTCCCCACTTCTCCCAGAGCCAGGGAGGCTGGAGCCACATGGCCACCTCCCTCCCTACTGCTTCTGGGAGTTGGGGAGGCTCAGGCTGTGCAGCCTCTTCCCTCCCTACTTCTCTGGGGATGCTGGGGCACACACATGCTCTTCCCTTCCCTGTCGTGGTGGTGGGACATGTGCATGCTTGGTGCACTGCTCCTCCTCCTTGCCTCTCTGTGGTGAGAGCAGGGCCTGAGTGGAGGGGGAAGGGCTGTAGATGGGCCTGGGGGCCTGCCTTCCCCAGGACCAGCTGCACTGCCTGCCTGCCCGCCCATGTGGCTTCCGTATGAGGAGAGATTAATAAGACTGGGACTTTATAGCTTGAAAAAGAAAAGAGATTGTCATGGGGGGACATGCCTGAGGCCTATAAAATCATGTCTTATATAGAGAAAGGAGATGAGGATGTGCTGTTTACTCCTCATAATATGAATCAGGAGTCACATTCTGAAATTAATAAGCAGTAGATTTAAAACATACAAAATGAAGTATTACTTCATACAATGCACAGTCAACTTGTGGAACTCTTTGCCACAGGGTGTTTTGAAGGCCATGACTAAAACAGGGTTCAAAAAAGGACTCTTTGAATTGCTGGGCCCTGGGAGAGTTGCTCCCCAGTTGGCAGGCCTGCTTGATGATTACCTGTTCTGTTTATTCCCTCTGGGGCACCTGGTACTGGCCACTGTCAGAAGACAGGATACTGGGCTAGATGGACCTTTGGTCTGACGCAGTATATTTGTTCTTATGTTCTTTATCTTCTGTCCCAGACAATCAGATCACCTGGGTCCTCTCTTGTCATCCCTTTGTTCTCCCACTGACAGAACTACCTGATTTTCATATCACCTGGGCCCTCTCTCTTTGTTCTGAAGCAAGAGTGCCCAGGGAGGTTGTAGAATCTCCATCACTGGAGATATTTAAGAGCAGGTCAGACAGATACCTATCAGGGATGATCTAGACAGTGCTTGGTCCTGCTGTGGGGGCAGGGCACTGGACTTGATGACCTCTCAAGGTCTCTTTCACTTCTGTGATTCTCGCACTGGATGAGACTGGCTGGCTTCCAAGATAGGCCTCCTGGTCACCAGTTGTTAAAGGTCCACTGTGTCCAGAGCATTGTGTGTAGTCCACCTGGCTAGGCCAGGTCACACCTGATAAGGGGAGCTGCTAGCCTTGCTGGGCCCCTGGGCAGGGTGTGGGATCGGGGCAGCCAGCTCTTAGCGCTGCCCAGACTGCAATGTGCCCCTCAAGCCAGCACTCAGAGTCACTCAGAACATGCTGCTGTGACACACCATTAGTGATTTAAAGGACCCGGGGATCTAGGCACTGTCACTGCTGCAGTGGCATTGTCTATGAGCTCTGGGTCCTTTTACATTTCTGGCCACGGGGCAATTTTCCCCTTTGCCCCCCGTTGTTCGTGGACCTGGGCCTGATCCTCTGCAACAATAAACACCTCTCTCAGCACCTGATTAAATATGCACAGTATTAATATAAATCATTTAAAAAAAATTCCCCACCTTGTCACACCTGGTATGACCATTCTTATGTTGCATCTAATTGTTTTGCAGAGGAAGGATCTGATGGGCATCATGGTCAGTGTAGTGTGCATGGTATTAGGGCCAAGGTGGAAAAAGTATCCAGGAGTATTGTTGGCTGTTGGAGTTAGTAATTTTATTTTGTTGTAGTTACTTATTCCAAGTATGCTCCTTGAATTAGGATCCCTTGTTTTCAGATCTGTTTGTCAGTGACAGGGAGAACACTTTATCTCTAAGTCAGCAGAATAGGTGCTGAAAAGGTCCATCCTGTAGATCAGCCTATCTAGGCTCTGTACTCTTATGACACCCATAGCTTGTTCCAATGTATTGGAGAAAGGGATGCTAGATTTTTTTGTAGCAGCTGGCCCTTCTTGACTTAATGGTTCAGTGGTCCTGAATTTTTCATTGATCTAGGTCACATTTAACCATAATCCCACATCAGAACAGACTGAAAGGAAAGTTATGAAATAAGAACCTACTTTCTGTTTCCCATGGCAAACGGCAGTAGTGGTACTATATTGCTACAACACTTCATCACAACCTTGCCTGCAGCTCTATTAGAGTACTCAGAGTCCCTGAATCCATTTATTTTCTATCCAATAGGTCTACTTATTTGAAGGAATTCTAATATATCCCTGAAGGCTTTGCTGCTTAAAGCTGTATCAAAAGAAGCATCCAAAGCTTTTTGCATGGTATCAGAACCATTGCAACCAAAGAGGTAAGGAAAACAAAAAGGCTTGGGTATAAACAGGAAATTGAGGCTTAAACATATAACTTGTCAAATGTTGTCTGAGTCTTTTTGTGGCTTTTTTTTAGTCATACAAAACCGCATGGATAGCATCTGCTTCCTTTAAAAAACGGTTTTTGATGACAAATCAGAATTTTCTATAGAACTATTTTGCAATCACTTCTACTTAACTGTGTTTACACTAGCTTCCTTCCTTCTACCCCCCGCTCCCACCAAAAACTATCAATATTGAATTACCACCCAGTGTAGTTCCTCCAGGGGACGTGCTAGAATACTAATGGAGGGTGGCCTATGGTATGTTTTACCACTGTGGCATCTAAACCTGCTGAGAACAGGTCTAGCTGCTACAGTAGTAGGCATGACATTGTCTAACATGCACAACTGCTCCTGCCATTGCTACCAGAGGTGGAGCTACATTAGTAGCTGGTGGGGCCCTCCAGCCCCAAGGCCTGTGTTCATGCCATAAACACAAAAATTAGATCACAACATAACTCTTTATGAAATGCTGCAACACAATGCTACTTTATTTCTTAGAACTCGGAATAACTAAAACAGGCACAATCGTACTTGTCTTGCTATAGGCTGTCACTCTGCAGACTCCGAATTAATGCATTTTACAGAGTCCTTAGGCCTGCAAACAGGATCAGGAAACAGTTTACAAAATGAAATAATATCTTGTAATTTTGTTTCAAATTCATCACGTAGACTATTGTAGACGGGATCACTGGAAAATGTGCATGAGAGGCAACTCTCTTTGAAGGAAGAGGGATCTGATAGTTGAGTGGGTCAGCAGGTTTTAGGGGGAGTAGGTTCTTAGACACACATTTGGATTGTGCATAAGAGCAAACAAAGGGTTAATTATGCCGCATATTAACCAGTTTTTCTTTTTTCTGCTTCCCACTTCATTAAAAAAAAATGATGTCCCTTTTCAAGGAATCTTCTGTAGATTCAGAATACTCATCTTCCTGAAAAATAGCTGAGACCCTACTTCATGCTTTAATTGTAGTATTAGTTGCTTAAGCCTATTTTTAGTATAATCACATTTGTATCATTCTGTGGCTTGTGCAGCTGTACGTTCACAATAAGGCTATGTCTACACTGGCGCAATCTTGCACCAGAAGTATGCAAATGAGGCTAAGCGTGGAATATTGCCGAGCCTCATTTGCATATCTAATGAGCCGCCATTTTTGCATGCTTTAATTGTAGTATTAGTTGCTTAAGCCTATTTTTAGTATAATCACATTTGTATCATTCTGTGGCTTGTGCAGCTGTACGTTCACAATAAGGCTATGTCTACACTGGCGCAATCTTGCACCAGAAGTATGCAAATGAGGCTAAGCGTGGAATATTGCCGAGCCTCATTTGCATATCTAATGAGCCGCCATTTTTGCGGAAGAGGCTCTTGCGCCAGAAGGAGCTGTCTACACTGCCCGTTCTTGCGCAAGAAAACCCCTCTTGCGCAATGTCGTTACACTGATTATTTTCAGGAATAACGGCATTGTGCAAGAGGGGTTTTCTTGAGCAAGAAGGGGCAGTGTAGACGCTCCTTCTGGCGCAAGAGCCTCTTCTGCAAA